GTTTCAACCAGGCAGACAGACAAACAGACAGAGTATGTATGTCGGGGCTACTCCCTCTTCTTGGGTAATCACAAGATAATAACATTTTGCGCATACAAAATTGCATACAAGAGCCGAGAAATATCGCCAGGTCTGACACGATACAACAATACAATGCCAGACGCCTCCCCCGCACACTCACTCTCAGAGAGAATGAGAGAGTTGAAGTTTAATCAAAGTAAGCAAAAGAGTAAACGCGTGCACTTGCAGAAATTCTGCATGTTCCGCTCTAGCGCTCTATCTCTCTTCCGCTCTCCCCTTTCTTCTGCCGATGTTCCAAATTCTTGGCTCTAGATTGGTTCTGTTGATCGTTATCGTTCGATCGATTTTTCTTAAGTTCTATCTATGTACAATCCATCCATTGCGATCCACATATGTACACACTTTTAAGACCCATTTACACTGTCTTAGGACCCATCAACCTTCTAAGATATTTATTGGGATTACTTCAGGATCCACTTAAATTATTTTCGGACACATCTAGCGTCTTTTAGAACCCATTATATTGCCCTTTTGGTATGGTTTCTGGTTCTATGCCCCTGCACTCGCAATCGTTACCGATTTTCTATGCCCTTTTGGGCAATATCTCTCCGTTAATTAGGTCTTTTCTCTCAGTGTACTCTCATTGCAGTCGCTTTGACTGGGTAAAATGTGAATAGTGGCACATTAGCCATTACCCATTCGGATGTACGAATAATGCGATGTGAAGGGCAGGGCAGAGGCAGAGCAGGGCAGGCATTTACATTTTGGGCCTTTTGCCTTTTGTTTGCTCTATCCCTTTGTTCCACATACTGCCGTGTATAGTTTGTACATATTGAAAGTGACTTGGGGAATCCAAGTGGGGGGGTTGGATGAGCGTGTTGGCTTTGACACATAAAGAGGAACAGGGAGGGGAACCCCATCCCCATCCCCATCCCAACAGTTTCATGTATTGGAAATTTGTTTGGTTGCAGGCAAAGCAGGCGCCACCAAGGGTCGTTCGCCAACGCCGACACCCAATCGTGATAATGTTGGGGGCGGAACTGTGGCTGGAGCCGGAGTCGTAGTCGCTGCTGGAGCTGGAGGGGGAGGCGGCGGTGGTGGTGGTGGTGCAGCAACAACATCAAGCGGTGCCGGAGCAACAACAGCCGGCAGATCCACACTACATGCGAACAAAACGATACTGAAAACGGTCTCGGTATTCCTCGCCAGCGGCAAACGTAACTCGAGCAACCAACAGTCAAAAGCCGCCGCGGCGGCCCTGCAGAAAAAGCGGCAGCAGCGCCAAAGGAGAATGGAGGAGCTAAGCGGCAAAATCAATCCAAAGCTGCTGGACAGTTTGCGCAAGAAGACGCGCTTCAGCAAGTGAGTTTCCAGCACGTTCCCAGTTCCCATTCCAGTGCCAGTTCCAGTTCCGGTTCCCTTTCCGTTCCGTTCCGTTCTAACCAGTCCCTGAAACCAATCCCGTTGCAGAGACGAACTGGATGCTCTGTGCCGTATCTATCGGAAGCTCGTGTCCAACTGCCAGTATGCGGCCAAGACGCTGGCCTCCAGCTCTTCCAGTGCGGCCATAGCGAAGCCCCATGCAGCCGTGGAGGTGAGTCTTACAGCGGATCCCAATCCCCCCTGCCCCACCACTCACACTAACTGAGATATTTGCCGTGCATCCTTGCAGGGCATCGACCGAATTGTGTTCCGTGAGCTGTTGCACAGCACCTTCGATATTGTCACCGAGGAGATACTGATGGAGCGCATCTTTTGCAGCTGGGACAAGGCACACGAGGGCCTGCCCCTGCGGCTCGAGGGCTGGCTCATCGGCCTCTCAACGTTTCTGCGCGGCACGTCCACGGAGCGGGCGGGCTTCTGCTTTCGGGTGTACGACCTCAATCAGGACGGTTTCATTACCAAGGATGAGATGTTCACGCTGCTGCGCAACTGTCTGATCAAGCAGCCGCAGGACGAGGATCCCGACGAGGGTGTCAAGGATCTGGTGGAGATCGTACTCAAGAAATTCGACCTGGACAAGGATGGCAAGGTAAAGAGCAATGCCATTCATCTCCATACGCCCCTATTTACTGCCCCCCTCCCTCCACTCAGGTGTCGCTGGAGGACTTCATGGCCACAGTCACCGCCGAACCGCTGCTGATTGAAGCCTTTGGCCAGTGCCTGCCCACGGACAGTGCTGTCGGGTCCTTTTTCTCAACGCTACAGGTGTAAATCGAATCGAACAAGAGTAGACAAAATATCATTGTCCTACTATATGCCCAAGCAATCGTGAATTAATTAAATAAAATACGTTACATGGCAATTGATTTCTGATTCCCCGAACCACAACTAAAATAGCCCTATAATTATTATGATTAAATTGTGTTCAAGTCTCTATGCTTGGAGCTTCGAAAGCAGTTCAATGTCCCTAAATTTGTGGTTTCAACGTGTCAACGTATTTTAGAGATTGCTGCGAAGGCAAGGGTTCTTTGTGGTGCCTGTCACCACATACTCGTATGAACGACAATAACTGCACTTGATTAGAGTGAGTAGCCACCCGGAGGTGCCAGAAGGTGACCCCGACCAATGCCAGCGACATGCAATTCATTTCTGCGAACAGATGTGTGATAAGTGCAATCTGCACGTACGAGTACCGCGCAATCTAAAGAAATCAACTGAGATGGGGCACGGCACCATCGCTCGATGTTCGTTCGTTTACGTCTTGAATGGTTCGAGTTTCGGCGACTGTCCGTGTCGGTGTCGGTGTCGGTGTCGGCCGGCAAGTTGCAAGCATTAGTCGTCATATTTATGCAAGCGTCAAGTGAAACAATAAGCCGAGTGAGTGAGTAGTCGAGCGGTCCGGTAATGTGAGCTAATTTATTCGATTAGCCAGCCGCATCCACAAAAACACAGACGCAGACATAGACACACAGACAAACCAGCTATAGAAATAACCGAAATGGTCACGAATCTTGTTTATCTATCGAATGCATTCATGCAACGCCCGCCCGCCCAAAGCAAGTATCACATTGTTTATACGTTGTTTGCTTCCCATTCCACTGGCCAACGTGACGCGCACTGCCCCGCCGCCTGCCACATGCCACTTGCCAGAGTGCCTCCCTGCCTGACTGCCTGCCTGCCTGCCTGAACACTGAATATGACTGGGGAAGGTGGACCGGATTTGCCATAGAACCGGAATGAGTGCAGCAGACAGTGGCGGCATTACATAATATCTAAATACACAGTACACTCTTGGAGTAGCAGGAAAGGAAGGCCGCACCGAATCAGATTTGATGCGGATCGAACCGAGAAGCTTCCACTTTGCCATTGCCACCGCCACTGCCCTTGGCATTCAATTGTTGAACTTGACTGAATCCAAACCAGGCAAGGTTACCGCTAAAAGGAAATCCAGAATCAGTTTGCCATTTCAGCATCCCATAGAGAACATAGAGACTGGAAATCTGGCTGGTCTTTGGTCGGTCACCAGAATCCAATGACATCTACTATCCACATATATTTCGTTTTCGTTTCACCAGAACCTTTGATCATATTTATTTAGATCTGATATTTGGAGAGAGAGACTATAATGCACTCACGTCTCTTGCTCTTTATCTTTGCGGTATCTTAGCTATCGTAACTATTGGAATCTGTTCCTATTATGTACATACAGATACAGATACAGACAGATAGTATCGCACATCTGATAAGCACAGTTCGTGTGCCAAGTACATATATACTATTCCCCCCAAGGAACGATAGATGTGAAGGCTATGTGAAATTGTAGCCCTTTTGTTTTTTATCTTGTCTTCTCCAAGGGGTATTATTACTTCTAATCATCGGGTGTGTCAGCTTGGCGGTTGCTCTGTCAAAGTTGTTTATTTATTTATAGCTTCCATTTTGTAAACATTATTGCCATGGCGTTCTGTCCAAGTGTTCACACTTCTGGAGTTGTACCTTAACCCCAGCCCTGTTACAAAAACTGATTCACCCTGCTGCATCATCATTGGGCATGACTAAAAATTAAAAGCATAAGCAGTTAGGACCCTGTTCAAGTGAAATCTTATCGCTGCTGCCGAAACTGGTATGATGCAATGAGTGCTCAAAGTAAGTACTAATTAGCCGAGTTTTTTTTTTGTTATAGTTACAGTTAATGAATGGGCGGAGGAGGGGTGTGTGCGTGCTGCTTAAATATATAAAAGTATATATTTTATTTTAATGCTTTTTGAGCACTTGCACTTTACCCACTCCGTTTTTTTTTTTGGTAGATAATGCATGGACTTGGGTCAAAGGCTTAGCAGCCTCAAATCTTACTGATAGAAGTGTGCTCGTTGGGGGTGCTGCTCCACACACACATACATACATATGAGAGGAGTATGTGTGCGTCTCCACGTGGGCCTCGTAAACTCTATCCAGATCTTTGGATTGCGCTGCATTTTATGATTGATGATTGGGGCGGGGGATTAGTTATAGCTGCAGTTCTGCTCCCGCTCCCCCCCACCACTCCTCCACATTTGTGTACTATTAATATCGGACTCTGATTAACTCACGCACACACACACACACGTGTTACCCTCCGCACTGGCGCACACACACACACACACACACACACACACAATGGGCAGCTGGACTAATCTGAACGAACGAACGAACGAATGGGTTCCCATTCATACGTCGTCGTTGTTGTTGTTGTTGTTGTTGTTGCGTTGCTGTCGCCAACGCGTCGTTCCATATAGATCGGATCTGATCGTATCGGATCGGATCGGATCGGATCGACATGTGTCGGAGCGGAGTATAGAACGCTTCTGCCTCTGCTTTTGCTTGTGCTCGTAGCTCTCGTCAGCGGTGCTCGTTGGTTGTGGTGTTGGTGCCATCTACTTATGAGTGCGACTGTTAATGTCAGTGTGGGTCTGCTCCAGCTTTGAGTATGAGTGTGCAAGTGCGAGTGTATATTTGAAATAATAACTTATACGGCATATATACGGCATACTCGCAGAGGCGCACACGGTGCTGTGCGTAGTGTTTACTTTTGTCGAAACTCAGTCCGAATTCGTTAACAGCCGCTAACGGTTTGCTCTTGCTCTGCTCCACGATCTAACACCACCACCACCACCCATCACCCACCGATCCTTGAACACAGCACACACACACACACACACACAACTGAAATCCTCGCCAACATGTCCAAAGTGTCGCAAAGGTCAGTAATTATTGTACAATGTGGCAGATGAAAGAAAGGAGCACATCGCTCTCTTAGCAACTGCAAAATAATCTTATCATCGCGAAAAAAAAAAAACAAACAAACTAAAAAAAATATGAACATTGGAATTTGTTGTACAAATATAAATTATGGTCTGTTCTACCAGATAACACCTACATACGTGTGTTGGTGGCTCTCCGTGCAGTCCGTTCCTTATCGCGTGTCGAAGCCAGAAGCCAATCCCTCGCCTCGGTTGGGGCCAGGGTTCGCAGAGTCCAATGGGGTCGGTTGTCGCGTTTAAGAGATGGACGATTATCCCAATAATTATTATTACTGGCAGATTAATTGCCAACCAGCTTATTGAACCGGTTGGCGTATTTCGTTAACCTTTGCCTGCGGGCCATTTGTGCAACACGGGGGCACCAGGGGGCACCATGATCGGTCTCGCTTCAGTTCCGATATGCTCTCTGGTTACCTACCCCTAATCGGGGTAATGCTGCCCATTGGACCAAGAAAAACAAACACGATAAGCGGATACTAGCTGGCAATAGGAGACACATTTCACGGTAGAACAGGAAACTGGTTCCAATATTGTTATTGTTGTCCCCTCATGATCACAGGCTAAGTAAGACTTCTGTTCCAGTTTCCTTGATTTGATTTGTATGTACATAAGTATGTTAGGATCAACAACAGCTCTAATTCACGATCTAAGAGATCTATCAGAAAAACCTTATAGGGACATACAGCTGTGGTCATGGCAATAGTAGCGCCGCAGCTCGCCACTTTCAGGATTGTTTTTGAGAGACGTCTTACATGACCTAAGACAAATACCCATGAAATCTGCTGTGCATAGAAATAGTAGAGCTGGGTGTAAATATTAAACAACAATTAAAAAACAGAATAAATTCATTCATACCTTATATGAATACATCCAATTATCTATTTGCAGTCATCCAAAAATTATGGAAATTATTATTCCATATAAAATGTATAATTTGAAACAGTTATAATCGAATGGCATAGAAAATTGTTTTAAATTGTTGAAACTTTTGAGTGTATTATGCATTTCATGTGGCGTTCATTTTGGCTTACAGTTAGGTGCATAAGTACATATGTACATATGTACATACATGTATGTATATGTATATGGTAATATGGAGAGATTGCCTAAATATAGAATGTGAACAAAATGCAGCGATAAGAGCGGTTTGCATTGGTATAAGCGATAGAGAGAGAGCTAGGGAGCAGTTGTGGTGGGGGCAGATCTAGAGCCACGGTCAGGGCACGATCATCTGTCCCATACCCGTGGCTAAATATGTACATACATATATCATATTTGGCTGATCTTCGTTCGGGTGCCTCTATGAATGTGTGTCACAAGTAGCAAACAAAAAAACACAAAACAAACAAAAAACCATCTGAAAAAAATGTTTTGGCACTATCAAGAGATCTCACGCAGCTGCAAGCCAGTAATTGTTATTGTAATACGAGTACTGGGGGTATGGTATACATACATATATACATGAGAAAAGCTGACCACAGATGAACCTCTGCCAACGCCGACTCATAACTTCCGCGTGGAGCCCAGACCAGCGGCAGACACAAGTAATGGGAGAAGGGAGCCGAAGCATACGATACACTTGCAGATCAAACATTTCTATAGCAGCTTTAGGATGAATAAAAACTAAATTAAAAATTTTTACAATTACAATTAAAATTACATTATATATGTATGTATGCATGTATGTACATATGTAGATACCCGACGCATACTGTATGTACATATTAAGAGTAATAAAATTACACTTTATACCCTTACCCTTTATAAGCAAAGGAAGGGTATCTCAGCGAGAAGGAGGAACTTTGAGAACTGCCCCAATGCGATTTGAAGCACACTCAAACTTTAGTGTGTGTACTTCGTAGCAGGCACACACTCCACAGCAGTAGATTAGAGTTCACTCCATTCGAGTTGACTCCCCATTTAATAATTATGATGCAAAGATCAAAAGCAGAGCCTAATTAGCAGGCGTCACGCACTCGCACTGGAACTGGAACTTCCCATGGCAACCCGGCCCCCCCGCACCATGCCACCCTGAACATTCCACTGATCTTTCTCTCTCTCTCCCTCCCTGCACTCCAATTTTTAGCGCTGGCAATGCTAGCGGTAACGGTACCACAACCAACAGCAGCGACATCTACAACATTGTGCTGCTAGTGGTGGACATTGTGATGCTGTTGGTCAAATTCTGGCTGTCGATAATCGAATCGATAATCGGCCTCTTCCAGACGAAGCCGCTGGAGAATGTGAACGGTAAATTTGTGCTGATCACCGGCGCAGGGCATGGCATGGGCAAGCAAATGGCATTGCAGTACGCGGCCTTGGGGGCCACCGTCATCTGCTGGGACGTGAACGAGCAGACCAACAATCAGACGGTGAAGGATATCAAGCAGAAGGGCGGCAAGGCCTTTGGCTATGTGTGCAATGTGACAAAGCGCGAGGAGCTGATTGAGTTGGCCCAGAAGGTGCGCAAGGAGCATGGCTTCATCCATGTGGTGGTTAACAATGCCGGCATTATGCCCTGCCATCCAATTTTGGAGCACACCGAGAACGAGATTCGTCTCATGTACGACATCAATGTGATCTCACATTTCTGGGTAAGCATTTTGCTCGTTATGAATTTTTGCTGCATGTGGGAATCCTCCTTGATCCCTCTCATTCTATAGATGATTCAATCCTTCCTGCCCGACATGATCGAGCGCAACGAAGGCAGCATTGTGGCGCTTTCCTCCTGTGCCGGACTCTTTGGTCTCATCAATCTGGTGCCCTACTGCGGCACCAAGTTCGCCGTACGCGGCTACATGGCCGCCCTCAGCGAGGAGCTGCGCCAAAAGAATCCACAGAATAACGTAAGTGTTGGAGCCCCCCTCTCTCCACGCCGCCCCTCTTTGCGTGATTCTAGCGTGAGTTGAATTCAATCTTGTTGCAGGTAAAACTGACCACCATCTATCCGTACATGATCGACACGGGTCTGTGCAAGAATCCCCGCTACCGTTTCCCCAACCTGTTCAAGTTGATTGCGCCCGATGTGGCGGCCGCTTCCATTATTCAGGCACAGCGCGAGGGTCTCGAGGAGGCAGCCGTGCCACGCAGCTATCTGACGCTGGAGAAGATCGGACGTCTTGTGCCCCGCAAGGCAATGCGACTGGTCAACGATTTCATTGACACGGGCGTCGACACGGACAAGTACTAGAACAGGACGAGAAGCAGCGAGCAGCAGCAGCAGCAGCACCACCTCCTACTACCACTACTACTCCTCTGCCGTACACTCTGCATTAGGTCCTAGAGCTTTATTAATTTTTTTTTTTAATTTTTGTCTATAATTAATTTCCCCTAACTGCTTTGTGTGCGTATATTAATTGTAGCCTCATTTCTTTGGAGAAATGTGAATTCAGAAAGGTTGTTACTTAAATGCTTAAATGCTAATTGTGTGGGGTCGTAATAAAAGTCGCCATAAAAATGACAGACTCGTTGAGCATTTTGGTTCAGTGTGTGGTTCCGGTGGAGTAGGCCCCGGGAGTGCCAGAGGTGCGCCTGTGTGTCCAAGTGTCTACTTGGTTTTGCCGCCTTCGGGTGCTTCTTTGGCCTTCTTTTTGGTTTCCTCTGGGTTAACAGTATCCTGGGAGCCCACTGAGGGTTCATGTTCGCGACTCTCCTCGAGGTACCACTGCTCGAAGGCTGTGCGCTCCATGATCATGTTACGCTTCGAACGCTTGCGCTCCACATTGAGCAGCATTTCCTGGAAGTCGGCAATGGCCAGACGGAACTGATCATCGCCCTCGATTAGCTGCACAAACTGATCGGGATTGTCGGGATCCAGCTCCAGATCCAATTCGGCCACCTCACCAGCATTTCTGGCGCGCTCCTCCTCGGCCAGCATTTGGGTGCGACGCTTCAGCTTCATTTCCTCGACGCGCGCCTCCAGGATTTTGCTACGCATGATCTCACGCTCAAACATCTGCGGTGCGGGCGGGGGACAATTATTTGGCTGATATTAAAATAGAATACGTCGGAGAACGCTTACGGCTGCTATGAGGGCCTTCTCTTTGCCGGTGCCCGACTTCATGGCATCGTCCAGCACGAGTATCTGTGTATCGCCATTCTCCAGGGCAATGGCCAGCAGTGAACCCTCCGGGCGGAAGACCACGTCCTTGATGGGTGAACCAAAATTGATGCTACAGACGGGCAGACGCTGATGCAACAGCAGATCCCAGAAATCCACCACTCCCTTCTTGTCGCCGGTGACGAAAAGGGAACAGCGGCCCGTGCTCCAGGCGCCGCAGACGATCTGCGTCTTCTTGCGGAAATACATTGTGCTGGGCCCATCCTTGGACTCCTCGGACCAAACGCGCGCCCGCCAGTCGCCTGTCACCAGGAAGTTCTTCACGAAGAACGGATTCCGATTGATGCTGCACACGGGCCCGGCAAACAGCTGATAGTGGGCGAGCAGCGTTTCCTGGGGCGTCATGCCCTTGCGATTGCCCACAAACACGCAGCCCATGTCGCTGCCAATGATGAAGCGTACGGGAATGGTGTACTCAAATTCGAGCACCATCACCCCGTGCGAATTCTGGCGACTCTGACGCTCCTGCGGCATCGGCTCCAGCAGCAGCTCGTGCACCGGCATCATGAGATCGCGTGTGTCCCAGTACTTGATGGAGCCGTCCAGGGAGCCCGTGTAGAACTCTGTGTTCGACTTGGAGTGCACCCAGCAGAGGGCCTTGGTGTTCTCGCGATGGGCCGTCTCCAGCGGACAGATGCGCAGCGGCGGGCCACTCTTGAAGGTGCTCCAGATGCACACCTTGCCCGACCAGGTGCCACCGGCCAGATTGTTCTCGTCCTTGGGACAGATTTTGGCACGCGATACCACCTCGTTGCTGTCGTAGAAGAGCTTCGGCTTGAGCGGATTGTTCACCTCCCAGATGTAGAAGCCATTTTCGCCGCCATTCCAGGCATCGCCTGGCACCAGCTTCTCCCCATCCGGACGCAAGCGATATTGGTTCGTGAATTGGGCCATAAACTGCTTCTCGTTGTTGGGCATCCAGTCGACGACATTCATTTGGCGCGGTGGCACCCACAGGTCGTGGAACACATTCACCACGCGCGCCGTAAAGCGCTGGCGAAGATCTTGGCCCAGCTCCGGGCTCAGATCGGCAAAGAAGTTCTGATAAATGTTGATGGCGTTGTTCTGCTCGGCCACATTCATCATGGAGCGGATTATGTCGGTGACCTGTTCGCCCCAGCTGTCCTCGCGCTCCACCTTCTTGCGATGGCGCACCGTCTGCTCTTCGTCATTGATGTTCACCTCCCTGGGCCAGCCGCCCTCGTAGTGGTACATCCCGTGCTGATCGTGGGTCACATTCTCCGTCTCCATGATGCTCAGGGCCATCTGGTCGCTGAGCTGTGTGGGATGCACTGCCGGATCGCGTAAAATGTACTTCAGGCGTAGCCGCCCGCTGGGATGGACACTGACCATCAGTTCATTGCGGTCCTGGAATAGGCACTGGCGCCCAAAGAGGCGGCGCTCACGTGAAAAAATAAATTGGTTCTGATACATGACGATGACGGGGCTGAGGCTGGCCTTTTGATAATGTTTTGTCTTCTACCGATTTCTGTATAATGATAATGATAATGATTTTACTGGTGTGAAATATCGTAATTTGATTGACTGTAAAACGAAAGCAAAGCTGAGTTTATTTTATTTTTTTAACAAGCATTTCAGAAATACTATAGAAAGTTAATTTGAACTGCGCGCGAACCATTCACAAAAAACTCGTCTACAAAATCGATACTAACCGATGTTTGGTAATCGATTTCAGTTTCTAGAGATGTGTGCCAACTCGCGGTCACGGTATTTGTACTTAAGAAAGTACCTTAATTTTAATAACTTATTTTACGACCGCTCCGATGAAAAAGAGCACTAAAACTTAAACAATGTTGTAGAAAATGTATTCGACTATTGGATAAAACTATATTTTCAGTGCTGAGGGTCCTAGCTAGCTAATAATATTAAACTGAATATGAAAATCGGCACATATGATTTCCGATCAACTAAAAATAGCTTTAGCCCATTTTCGACCACGGAGTATTAAATATTCCCACGAAATTCATGAAACTTAAAAAAATTGTTTTACGCATTTCAGGTGAAAGAGATCTTGGTTATATTTTATGTAAGTAAAAAGGACGGATGCATCTACAAGAAAAAGATACAAAACAGTATTATTTTCCGCGGCTTAATTGAAGGTTTTTCACTGTTTAAATAGAGGGGGGTTAAGTGGGCTAAGTGGGTTAACGATTAATCCGCGGTCACACTACATCCAACAAATGAAACAAATTTGCCTGAAACTTCCCAGATATTTCTGATATTTCTGTTTTGTAATTACAAAACAACATCGAGGCTAGCGTGAGACAAATCATATTACTTACATTTGCCGCCATGCCCACTAACAAGTCGGGCCCAACTGTGGCAGAGAGACCGGCCGAGATACCGGAAACCGCGACAACAAACTCATCCCATGCTGCCGCAGCCGCCAGCGCCACCGCCACAACAACATCCGAGGTAGAAGCAGAAGCAGTCCCAGAGGCGTCGCCGAACGATGACGGTGATGGCGATGGCGATGATGCTGCCAAAGAGGCAGAGGAGCGCGAAGAATTGCGGCTGTTCATCCAAGAGCTGGGTGAGAAAATCGAGAGCAAGCGGCTGATGCGTCAGCAAAATGCCAACATCGAGCTTCCCGGCGAGGAGTTCTTTGCCCGCCTCGACTCCAGTCTCAAGAAGAACACGGCGTTTGTGAAGAAGCTGAAAATGTTCACCACCACGCAGCTGGAGCCGCTGCTCCGCGAGCTGTCCGCCTTGAATCTAAGCAAGTATATTTCGGAGATATGTGCCGCCCTGGCGGAAGCCAAGCTCAAGATGAACGATGTGCCTTCGGTGGTGATGCTATCCTCGCGCCTGCACGCCACCTATGTGGACTTCGACACGCACTTCCTGGAAGCCTGGCAGAAGGTGCTGAACATGAAGGGCGAGAAGATCGGCAACCCGAGCAAGCTGCGCGTCGATCTGCGTCTCTTCGCCGAGCTTATCAGCTCGGGTGTTATCCAGATGAAGCCCGGCCTGGCCCTGCTGGGCATGGTGCTGGTGCAGCTAATCGGCCAGGACAAGGACGGGCATAACAACTTCTCGATTATACTCTCGTTTTGCCGCCACTGCGGCGAGGAGTACGCTGGCCTGGTACCGCAGAAAATGCAACAACTGGCTCTCAAGTACGACGTGGAGGTGCCCAAATCCGATTTCCTGGCAGCGGACAAGCAGGCAAACTTGCGCACCATGCTCAAGGGCTACTTCAAGGCCCTGTGCAAGCATGTCCTGGCCGAGCAGACCGAACTGATGAACATGACGAAGAACATACGTCGCACGATGGAGTGCAAGGGCGAGATCTCATCGGAGAAGCGTGAAAAGTGCGAAATGATGCAGGCGAGCTTCGACAAGCTGCTGGCCTCTGCCCAGACGCTGTCGGAACTGTTGGCCGAACCGCTGCCAGAGCTGGCCAAGGAGTCGGAGTGCTGCAGTCCGGGCACAGTGATTGACAATATGCTGGACAGTGCCGCCTTGGGGGTGCTCGATCCTTGGGGCGATGAGGAGACACGTGCCTTTTACACAGATCTGCCCGATCTGCGCCAGTTCCTACCCGACTTCTCCGCCCCCAAGGTGGACCTAGAGACGATGGAGGAGCCCAGCGAACTGACCGAAGAGGCCATCGATGCCAATCTAGATGCCGAAATGGATATCGATGATCCACCCTCCACCAATTCGGATCCGCCGTCTGAGAACACTGCCGACGACCAGCCGCCACCAAGCAGCACTCCACCGCTGCTGCTGGCCCCCACGGGCACCTCGCCGAACGACTTGAAGCCGCAGAAGATGTGCAGCGCTCTGATGGAACTGGGACGCCAGCAGCTGCAAAGCCAGCCGCCGACGGCCCAGACACAGCAACAGATACGCCAGCAATTCGATACATTTCTCGTGAATCTCTTCAATTGCGTCAACAAGGAGCTTATCGACTCGGCCGCCATCGAATTTCTGCTCAACTTCAACACAAAACACCAGCGCAAGAAGCTGACCCGAACGATTTTCTCGGTGCAGCGCACCCGCCTGGATATTCTGCCCTATCTGTCGCGCTTCATGGCCGTCGTTCACATGTGCAACACGGACGTGGCCGCCGATCTGTCCGAGCTGCTGCGCAAGGAGTTCAAGTGGCATATACGCAAAAAGAATCAACTGAATATCGAGTCCAAGCTGAAGATAGTGCGTTTCATTGGCGAGCAGGTGAAATTCGGCCTGTTCAAGAAATTCGACGCCCTCGGATGCCTCAAGATGCTGCTGCGCGACTTTCAGCATCATCAGATCGAGATGGCATGCGCATTTGTGGAGGTGACTGGTGTATATCTGTACAATTGTCGCGACTCCCGTCTGCTCATGAACGTCTTCCTCGACCAAATGCTGCGCCTGAAGCTGGCCACCGCCATGGACTCGCGTCATGCGGCCCAAATTGAAAGTGTCTACTATCTGGTGAAGCCGCCAGAGTCATCCAAGCGCGAGTCAGCCCCACGTCCCGTCATTCACGAGTACATACGCCACCTGATCTTCGAGGAGCTGTGCAAGCAGAACGTTGAGCGTTGCATCAAAATGCTGCGTCGCATCGACTGGCTGGATCCGGATACCAGCGGCTATGCCATCAAGTGCCTGAGCAAAGCATTTCTATTGCGCTTCCCACTCATCCGCTGCCTGGCCGATCTGGTGTCCGGGCTCAGTTCGTACCAGCCGCGGGCCGTCACCATTGTCATTGATAATGTGTTCGAGGATATACGCGCCGGGCTCGAGATACATTCGCCGCGCATGGCACAGCGTCGCATTGCCATGGCCAAGTATTTGGGCGAAATGTACAACTACAAGCTGGTGGAGTCCACACACATACTGAATACCCTGTACTCCATTATCTCGCTGGGTGTGTCCACGGATCAGAGTGTGGTGTCGCCGTTGGATCCGCCGGAGAGCCTGTTTCGCCTGAAGCTGGCCTGCATGCTACTCGACACCTGCGGCCCCTACTTCACCAGCCAGGCCACGCGCAAGAAGTAAGTAGAAGAGCCAAGAAGGAGGGAAGGGAGACACGACACGGCACGGCACTCACTCACTTTCTTTCTGACTTCTGCAGGCTGGACTATTTCCTGATGTTTTTCCAGCACTATTACTGGTTCAAGAAGTCCCATCCCGTCTTCTGTAGGGATAATGAGAGCTCGGCGGATCTCTTTCCCATACTGGTCGATCACACATATCGCGACTGTCTGGGCGCTGTCCGGCCCAAGCTGAAGCTTTATACTAGCCTGGAGCAGGCCAAGGAGTCCATTGATCAGTTGCAGGAGCGACTCTTTCCCCATCTGAAATCGCATGCCAGCAATCCCAATCTGGCTAGCCTCAATGAGATCAGTGAGCTGGACGAAGGGGTAAGTGTAGATTGGCATTCTCTTGCATTGCATTTCGATTATTACACGACTATTCTCGCAGCCCACTGACGAGGATTCTGGCAGCTCGAACGATCAGCGAGAGCGTCAGGTTGCCGGCCTGGAGCCGGAGCAGAGCAACGAATGTACTGAAAATGAGACAGATGTTCCAATGGGACCACCGCCACCGCCGGAATGGTCCAAGGAGGACTTGGACTTCGAGCAGCAATATGAAAGAATGACGACAGATTCGTATCAGGAACGGCTGAAGGAGCCCGTTAAGGCTACCGCCAAGGACATACCCGTACCCATGATGGCGCGTCTGCAGAAGAAGTCATACGAACAGATCACAGCCGGATCACAGATCTCAAAGGTATCCAGCTGTCCAGATCTGCCTCCCCGCTCGCCAGCACCCGATCTGCCCGAGAGCTCCTCAGGCAAGACAGCGGCCAGCAATGCTGGTGGAACTGGTGGAGGAGGAGGAGGGGGAGGGGCAACGCCAGCTGCAGCGGCTGCTGTTCCATTTGTGCTGATGGTGCGCGGCAACAGGGGCGGAAAGCAGCAATTTAAATCGTTTGTCTGTGCCTCGGACTCGCACTTGGCCATCAATCTGAAGGTGCAGGAGCAGAAAATACGCGAGGAGAAGGAGAAGGTGAAGCGCCTCACACTGAACATCACCGAGCGCATTGAGGAGGAGGACTATCAGGAGTCACTACTGCCGCCGCAGCATCGAAATTTCACTCAGAGCTACTACCAGAAACCCAACAGACAAAAGTTCAAACACCAGAAGGGCGCCCCCAGATGCGGATCTCATATTTCACTGAGACGCCCAGCAGCCACAGCCCTCAGGCCGACGACAACAGACCAATCCAAGTCAAGTTAACAATCAGGGAATGCGCTCACGGACTCACACTGGCATCGCAGCAACCATGGTTAAAGCGGGAAGATGGATGGTGCCTCCAACAACAGCAACAACAACATTCAAGTTTACAAATAGTTGTCGAAATATTGTAACAGGCAACAGGAATACGAACGGGAGAGAGAGAGAAGGTGCTCCAAGAGACCTTGATTCTCCGATACACACCGATCCACACCGTGTTCCATGTGCAATCCTCTGGTACAGGGACACACACACACGGATATACAGACGTTTTTATACCGTACTTAAGTTGAGCTCTCACCACACAGCGCTCGTCCGCTTTATACCAACGCCAGCGCGTTAGCATGCCCACGAGATTCTACACTCATTGCCAATGCCATGCCACAGATCGTGCGGCATGGCAGCTCAAGATATTGTAAGGCTCTCCACAACGCCCCCCGCCAACCCCAAACAATATCCTTCGCTATGGTGCACATAGAGAGCACAGCCGATCCCTTAAAATTAACCATATACACATACATACATATAGTACGTACAATTGCATCGACTTGTTTTGAAAACAAACCTACCCCCTACTGATCGATTGATATATAAAAAGTGCATATATACCATATACATATGTTTTTTGTAAATATATACATACATACATACATATGTATCCGTACACATACACGCCCGTAACTGAAACCGAAACCACCCAACTGATGGCTGTTTCCCCTCCGCCCACAGAGAGCAGGAATATACTATACCACTTACTTACATTAGATCAGGGGAATATATCTAATCTATACAGATTTGATATATATTCATATTTATACACGCGCATGTATAGTTAATGGGTTTCCACTCCACCTCCACCTCCCCTCCCCTCCACTCCCTTGCTGTCTTGACTGGACATCGACACACTAAAATAGTGCATACCTTCCCAAGACTCGTTTGACTTTTGAATTTTTATTTGTTTTTCGTTTTATTTTATTTGCTCTAAAATTAGCGTCAAACAATTTGATTTTGATTTATTTTTAAATTTCCTCTTCATCTTATCCCATTGTATATTGCCAGTGTGTTGGTGTATTCGTTAAATAACAATATTCCAAAATGTTTTACGCTTTTTTTTTATGCTTCTTTTTTTGTTGCTTGCTTATACAAATGTTTTCGTTCGTTTGTTTGGTTTTACTTTTAAAATGTTAATCAGTAATCAGTACAAATGGCAAAAGATATAATATTTATATAGTAGTATTAATTCACTATTAATGAACGAAAATCGATTAAAAACAAAAACACACACAAAAGAGACGACGTATGTATCTCTCATAAATTCTCATAAATACAAAAATTACAAAAAAAAAAAAAAAAAAAACAAATTAAAAAATAAAAACGTACAAAATGAGTTCAAAACGAAATGAAAAAAATCATATAGAAGTCAAAGTCCCGGTGGCACTCTTGCATTTTAGATTTTAGATTAACAATTACAAAAGCTTAAATGTTAATATACGCTTAAATATTAAAATTGTAAAGTTAGATTATTTAATTTTTTATTATTATTACTTTTTTTTTTAACAAAAGAAAACACATTTGGACATCAGAGGGTGGGGCCGTTTCGGTGCGGTTAAGCAGGGAGGGAGTTAAGTTTTCAATACAATTTGCAATATTGCCTTTCAAAAAGAGTGATACACATACAAATATATATATATATATATATTATATATGTAAATAAAACGTACAAAAATACATTGCGCTTTAAAACTACACAAGTGTTCGAAAATAAATCAATAGAATATCAAAAATTATAAATGGAATACAAAATTATAAAGAAACAAGAATTAGAAATAAAATACAAACAAAGTTGATGTGCTGTTTGGACAATTGATGGTGTGGGGGGTGGGGGTGGTTGTGGATTGCGGTTGGCTGAACACAGGATGTCACACATTAAATCATATATATCCCTAATAATAATCGTTTCGTAGTTAATTTTCTTGGCTGTTTTGTTTGTGCTGTCTGTTTCTGTTGGCTCTCTGTAGATGGAAGCTCTCTCTATCAATATACGATATAGGTATGGGTATACAAATATATGCATTTTACAAGTCTAAATACATTTTATAGCAAGGCACTCGCACACATCGTTTGCTCGTTAAGTATACGCATTGTATATGAAGGCTGCCCTCGAAGTGTTTTCGGGTGTTTTGGTGTCTGGGGGCGGGGCGGTATATATATATATATCTCTATATCTGTGTATATATAAATTTGACTTAGTTTAGAACGCGTTTCAGTGGCAGTTGACTTCAACAGGAAACTATCGGGCGCAGCTTTCGTTGATTTAGATTTAGATTTTAATTGGGGAAGAGACACAGGCACACAGGCACAGGTCTCTTGTGTCTCTTCCCAGGCACAAACAATCCATCCATGGATGACACAAAATTTGTTACTAATATTTAGTTAGATGGCGGAGAGTGGATCCAGCCGAATTGATTATTTGCCCGCATACATGGGATTCTTGAAGGTGGAGGTGGCCTGCTTGTAGATGGGATTCTCGCCCTGAAAACCAAAACAAAAAGAAGACAAAAAGATTATTAGAAGAGCGAAGGGCAATATGAGCATGTAAAGTATTTTCGGGCACTTACCGCATTCCATTTGGCATTCATGCTCTCCTTCTCGAAGCGGGCAAATTCACGGCGATCGTGAATGGTGGTCAGGAGCTTCCAGAGCAGCAGAATGGCCAGGCCCACGAGCACAATGGCGGCGATGACGCCCAGCACGATGCCGAGCATAAAGACCTTGGGCGGGCACTCCTTCTCCTCCTGGGCATGGACCACCAGCTCGCCCTGTTCGCTGTACTTGAACATGAACTTGCAGTCATCTTCGTCGAAAAATGTGCACATCTGCTCATCCTTGTGCTCATCAATGGTCACCTTCTCGACGCCCACCGGAGTGAAGGCCGTACAGTTGCGGGCACAGTCATCCACGTTCTTCAGCACTCCGGTGTGATACATCTGGCACTGTACGCAATCCTTTAGCTCCTGACAGCGGCCCGAGCATGTCGGGCACTTTTCGCAGTGGCGGCCAGAGTAACGGCCTTGTTCATTGGCCGTACACTTGCAGACGCCACACTCGCACGTGCCGTGACCGGAGCAGAGCTCGCCACCGCCCGGCGGCATACAGGTGTCGTTGGAGGCCTGGCAGGCACAGCTACTGCCCGTCCAGCCGGGCTTGCAGACACAACGGCCACAGTCGCAGGTGCCGTGATCGGGTCCAGAGCACAGCTGATTCTTGTTACGCTCACAGCTAAAGTTCTCGCACTCGCAGAACTTGCCGGTGATCACCTCCTCCGTATTGGGCCGCTTGAAGCACTCACAAAAGCCGCACACACAATTGCCGCGCCCGCTGCAGTCCACATTGGTGGTGTTGTCCGCCCTACAACTGGCATCGTTGTTGATCGTCGAGTTCATGTCCGATACGGAGCACTCGCAGGTGTTACCAAAATGATGCTCGCCACAGTCACAGATGCCGCACATGTAGGTGCCGTAGTTGTTGCAGTGCGGCGACAGCGCCTCATACCCAATGGAGCCGGGATGTTCGCAGGGGCAGGAGCACAGCATCTCCAGTTTGATCACCATGCTCTCGTTGATGCCAACCGGATAGATCTGGATGACCTGATTCCAGTCACGTGGATCCTCCGGGCACTTCAACACCTGAATCTGGGCCGTGAAGCTCACCTGCTTGCCCACCGTCAGGTTATCGCATTTGGATGTCTGGATCTCGGGTCCGTTTGTCAGACAGGACGAGAAATATGTAATCTTCACGTCTCCCGTAGCATTGTCCTTCATCTCTACCGACGACGAGATTTTCTGTAATTTTTTATAGCGTGAAATTCTAGAGTCAAAAGAGAGCTTAATAGCCTTACATTGTACTCCTTCTGCACGAGATCGACCACATTGGACGAATCATTCGATAGGATGGCCGCCGAGGAGCCCTGAACGTGAGCGGCCAGTTTCTCGTACACGGTATACTGTGAGTTGGTCACCGCAAAGATAATGTTGATGGCATTCTCCTTGACCTTTTGGTTAATTTGCGAGATGCTCGGATAGTCCTGTATCACCGAATGCGTATACATGCCCTGCAGATCCAGATGACATTCGCCATCGTTGGGCGCTATCACGCCGCCCAATTTGCCATCGCCCGCATAATGAAAGCCAGCGTCCGTGGAGAAGACGAGCAGGCGACGGGCCTGCTCACGCCATCCCACCTGCTGACGGCAGGCAATGGCCTGCATAATGGCATCAAAACCGCCCTCGGGCGCATCGAGATTACCAGAGACAGCCGCATCTTTCACCTCGTTCTGTGTACACAGGCGAATAGAAAACAAAAAGGGGATTAGTTTGGGTTGGGTTAGGCAGTTGGCCAGTTATTCGAGCAGTTAGCCAAAGAGAAAGCAAGTGAAAGTGAGTGACAAAGAGAGGGAGAGATATGGAGGAGAAGTAGTAGAAGGAATTTTAGACCAGCTCCGTTTGGGTTCTATCAATATTAGTCAAGATAAGGGGTATGTGTGCTGACTTGACTCTATGCCCGATAAGATATAGTATGCATACATGACGAACTGTTGCTCTGTTCAAGGTTCTATTATCAGGAAACAAGGCTTTCCATAGAAGCTATTCATTCTATACATACAATGTATGCACATGTACATATGTGTATACCTTTATGATATTCGAAATTCAATCGATTCTTAGGTGTTTCATGACATCATAGTAGCTGTCAACCGATCTCATATTCTTGGCGATACAACGACCAAAAATGTAGGCCAATAATATAATAATATTCGCACTTCTAAAGTTTCCAGATCACACAGGGGGGTGGTATATAAATGTACATAAATATGTACATACTCGTATGTATGTTACGAGTCGAACCACTTAAGAATTGCAAACCATTTTTTTTTTTTTCAGTGTGTTCTTAATTATAAACTCTAAACATAAACATAAAATTATGATTATTATGTTTAGAGATTACTTACAAGAACATAAAAATACAAATTTATATAAAGATCTATTGGGCCAGTCTGTGAGCTATAATTATGCTATATCTATAGCAAGAATGGAATGCCCTTTCTTGATCTTAAAGCGAACCACCGCAGGGACAGTCTCTCGGGAACATTCGACAGGTCACACATAGCCTTGCATACTGTATCCTGCACAATTCGGATAGATGGATAGATAGATATATAGATAGATAGAGTAGTGCCATGGGAGTGTGCCATTGGATTGATACATTAAATAGAAAAAGGATATATGAAGCTGTTAGATAGATGACGACAAATTGCATGCAACGCAACAAAAGATATGTGCCAATGCCCAAACATACAGGTAGGTAGGTACATTATCAAGTATAAATAGTATATGCAGATAAGGAACACAATATATAGATATAGATGCCATATGGAATTAGAGCTATATGTAGGTAGATAAGTAGCATGCCAAAAACCAAATACAAGCCCCATGCAATGTGCAAACTATCCAAATTAGAATTAGAATAAATAATAAATAAAATCAAATAATATGTTAAATGGGGGCGGGTGCTAATGCAATGCCAAATAGTATGTATTATATTGTTTCGGACGTGTGTTAGATCCAATTCGATTTAGATCTGGATCTGGCGCATGGCGACGACTTACAGAGAATCTATATGTGTCCGTGCTCAGGCCCATGATGTTTCGATAGCCATAGGGAGCAGCGCATTTGGGGCATGGCTCCTCCAGGCTAATTTTGTTTTTCATTTTTTGTTGTTTTTTTTTTTTTGTATATAATTTTGCATAATATTTTGAAAGGAGTATATAGTGACATAGCGGTATAGAAAGAGTGATATAAATGAGAGATAGAGATAGATAGAGAGAGAGAGAGAGAAACACAAAAGAGAAATTGTATAAAAATGTTTTGACGACATCGAGAAAGTGCATTAAATTACGATAAATAATACGATACGAATGCAATACGGTTTGTATATGTATGTATGTAATATAATATAGATCACCCCCCATCCCCAGCCCATTCCATCTGCCTGAATGGTGGGAACACACACACACACACACAGATACTTAATGATACGAGTATATATGTAGTTTTTACGATTTAGGTGCGGAATATCATAAATATAGTGATAAATATATGTATGGATATCTAGCATAATAATCATAAGCAGTAATCTAAATATGTATATTAGTTATAGAGTTAGTAGGACGCCACAAACAGAAGCAAGAAATGAGTAGAGGGATATGGGAGATATGGATATATTTGGTGCAGAGGCA